AAAAAAAGTGGGATTTTAAATAAGATAAAAGTAATTAAAGTTGTAATTTAAAAAATAAAAGTAAAGAAAGGTGGTAATTCTTTTTATAAAAAAAAGAAAAGCAAAATGTAAGTGAGATTTCTTTTAAATTAAAAAATTAAAAAAAAATCTGATTTTTTTTGAAAATTCTCCTATTAATAAAAGAGAAATATTTGAAGAAAAGAAAAGAAGAGAAGAGGGAAGACTATTGAGAGAAAAAAAATTTTCTTCTTCTATGCTAAAGAGAATTTCTACTAGTTTTATTCTTTCTACCTATTTCTTTCAAAAAAAAAAAACATATAGCCATTCATTACCTTGTTTTAAAAAAAAATACCTCAAAAACAGGAGCTAAATCACACCAAAAATCAAATCCAAAGCTTCAAACTCAATTTGAAAGATAGCCCAAAATACTAGCCCGAAGAGGTCGAAGTCGAGTTCGGTTCGAAAGGTTTCCGCTCATTGCCTCTGATTGTGGTTCATTTGCACATTAAATTTGATAGTTGTTTGCTCCATATGTATTGAATAAGATCTTCATCTATAAAAGATTCATTCTTTTCTTAATCAATGTTTCCATTATTTTTCTTTCACCGTATTTCCTTTTGATTTGTATATTATACTTTGGTTATCTACCAACTTGAAAGATATGAACAAAAAAAATGAAGGAAGAGTATCAAGAAATAGAATTCGTGAAAGACAATGAGTTTCTTCAATGAGATTGTAGTTCATAGGGAAAGATAGGAAAATGTATTCAAAATGGAGAGAGAACGATGTAATAGCTTGGATCCAAATTAAAGGATGTTAAGTCAATAGCAAATTTGATACCAACATGGGTGATTAGGTCCATAATAACTCAAATCATATATTTCTTCAATAATAATTCCATATTCATAAATCATGACCTTGCAATAATCTCAAAGTAGTTTTAGGAAGAAACATAATCATGAATATTTTGTAGTTTGCTTTAAATTGAATACAATCCTTTTAGAATAATCGAGGCGCGCCACGCCAAATAAAATCTCAAAACTCATGGCCCTCATTTAATTAATTTTAATCCTTAAAAATCGAGGCGTGCCATTTAGTTGAATTTTCCATGGCCCTCGCAAACTTGAAAGTGCGTAGTTGCTTTAGGCGCGCTATTTTTTTTTTAAAAAAAATTAATTTCCTAAACTCGGGTGTGCATTTTATGTGACCCAAATCCAAATCTCAACAACGTTAGATAAAATGTGTCGTGGACCGCGGGTGCATTTCATGTGACGTGGTTCAATACGTGTTTTATATGACGTTGAATTTTTCCAAAAAAAAAAAATTAATTAAAAGCGGCTAATAAGTTAAAAATATTCCTTGAAACATGTTTTAAAAATCAGATAATAGGCCAATTGTAATAGTTTAAGCGATCGTGCTAGAACCACGGAATCCGGGAATGCCTAACACCTTCTCCGAGGTTAGCAAAATTCCCTACTCAGAATTTCTGGTTCGCAGACTTCAAAAGGAAAGTCGAAATTTTCTCGATTTGGGATTTAAAATAAATCGGTGACTTGACACCAAATAAACTATCCCAAGTGGTGACTCTGAATTGAATAATTAATCTCATTTCGAATAATGTCACTTAAATTGGAAAAACTCTCTTATATACCTTCGGGTGTGTAAAAAGGAGGTGTGACAGTTTACATTCTCCACATGAGAAATTCCAGAAGATTAACAGTAATTACTAATACATTATCAACCTTCTGAGGTGTAACAGATAAATCATAAGCTATCCAACCTGTAACACCCCGGGCTTTAGACAGAGTTCCACATCGACAAAACACAAGAGGGATGCTGGGTATATAAGTTAACAAGCCTTAGACCCTAGTGATGCGTTTTAAACCCGTGAGGGCCTAGGCCCAGAGCGGACAATATCACTAGTGGGCTGGGCTGTTACAGATGGTATCAGAGCCACTCTTGTGTCAGCCATGCTGATGGTGGGTCAGAGCTCAACTGAGTTTAGGCAAATCCCGGTTAGGCGGGACAAACCTCAGTGCTGAGTCTAGGCAAATCCCATGAGGTGGGACAAACCTTAGCGAGGACGCTGAGTCCATAAGAGGGGGTGTATGTAACACCCCAGACTTTAGACAGAGTCCCACATCGACAAAACACAAGACATATGCTGGGTGTATAAATTAACAAGCCTTGGACCCTAGTGACGCGTTTTAAATCCGTGAGGGCCTAGGTCCAGAGCGGACAATATCACTAGCGGGCTGGGCTGTTACACAACCTTTGTCATATCATTTTGAGTTGTTAGCAAGTGATAAGCAGCAGCGAGGTGCACACGCAATGACATGGCATTGAATTAGTTTGAGTTGTCCTGTTTCAGATACATAAATTCTCTTATACTAACACTTGCCATATATAAAAACCCAGTATGACATGAACAGGTACCTGAGAGGGCAATACTTGCTGCCAATAATGACAAATTTACCTACTAACATGAAAATTAAAATGTAGAATCCACATTACATGATAGGCAAAATAAGTCTCTCTAACAGTTGAAAACAAAAAGCAGATGAAAATAAAACGTAAAGTATAAATGATGAACCAATAGAAGTTCCAAGAGTGTCTGTTATAGGCCCTTGTTTTGCCCTTGGCCACATCTCTGTCACAAAGGTATAAATAATCAAAATATAAGAGGGAATAGGGAATTAATTAACATGATAAAAGAGAATAAGTGAAGTGTTTCACCGAAGTAGTTAAACACATTCAAAAAGCAGTTGTAATCAGAAAACCCAAATGGGTAGATTAGCGCTCAGAATGTTGACCGAGAGAACCGAGATTTGATGTAGAGAGCGATTCCTGAAACCTGAAAAGAGGAAATAAGTGATTTGATTGAGCAAATCAGTGAGACAAATTTGAACAATAAAGTTGCAAAATTTTACAGAGCAAGGCACATTAGACCAAAAAAGATAATGAATCAAATCTGCAAAAATAATCTGAACATCAAAAGACAGAGATGGAACTCTAATGAAAAAGGGAGAAGGGAAAAGGAAAAAGGAGGATAGAAAGATGCAGCAACAGAGAGGGAAGGTACTACCGGTTGAAAATTTGTACTCTTACTCTGATTTTCAATGGAAAGAAAAGTCATTCTCTATCAATGGAAAGAAAGCCGTGTCATCGGTTTCGAGAGAGGGCGGAGAAGAAGAGGAGAAATACAAGAAAAAGGAGTTACAGCCCTTTATTCTGGCAGTTACGGGGTTTTGACATGTGGCTTTTGGAGTCTTTATTACCGCATCGAACCTGCGTAAAAAAGAGGAGAAATATAAGAAAAAGGAGAAAAAGAGATANGTATCCCATCATATCATCTCGGCCACTGTGACAAATCATCAACGTATACCAGCTGATCAGCTAGTGGTGCGTATATAACACCATAATCTTTTCTCATACCACACATGCACACACACACACACATGCACACACACACATACACACACACACACAGACACACACACACACACATGCACACACACATACACATGCACACACACACATACACACACACACACACACATATATATATATATATATATATATATATATATATATATATAATACAAGACCTTATGCAGAAATTAAAAGTTATATATACTTAAAACGATTACTTATTGATACGATGAGAAGATATCTTAAAGTGCGTGTAAGGTAATTCGACTACACCGTGGAAACAAAGTACACCAACTAATGACGATTTCTTTAAGCAGTTTAATGACGATTCATTTCAGCTTTATTTTTTTCATCAAACCAAGTCCGTTTAGCTGCTTAAGGTTTTGGAATGACTAACTATCCCCCAAAAGAAGGTTTCCATTATTAACTATATTAAGTACGTTTTTAAATGTGCATGTGCCTTTTCTCTTAGCACAGATGCATATAGTCAACATGACATTAAACTTCTAAGTTTTTTGGAGTACCAGGGTGCTATCCCTCTTTAATTTTACTAACTTCCAGCCTAAACATGTCCTATACTCTATATAATGAGGAGAGAACTCCATTTAATTCAACTAAATTCGTAAATCGTTGAACTTTTCTTGTATCTAAATACTCAATTTATGTGCATTTCATAGCATAGCATGCTACTAATATAGTAATCTTGTGATGAATTATAATCCTACCTGTCACGACCTACATATTGTTTCCAATTCAATGCGCCAACAAAGCAGTCATCAAAGCTCCAGTTTTGCCTTCATCTCTTCAAGATGCAATATAACCGCTGTTGACGATTATCACCGGCGGTTCGAGTCTCCGATTTTTTGTTGCTCAATTAACTTGAAATTCACAAGTTATATAGCTAAGTAATCATCTTTAGTATTAAACTTGAAGTAACTTGCTTGTCCTTTATTCTCATTTTGTAGGTGCTTTAAGAATGAATTATTTTGTCTTCAACTTTTGCTATTGGTTAAGAATTATTTTGTCTTCATCTTTTGGTATTGGTTTTAATGAACTTCCTTGATAGTTTCTGACTGACTTCTACCACTTCTTCAGCACGAGAAAAGACAGACTTTAACATGAGTTGCATGCCATCTTAAACCGGATGATGTGTTGTAGGAATTTGGCCCCTTTTTTTTCTTACCAATATATGTTGTAAGAACAAGAGGTAGCAAAATGGCTTTAGCCAGACCAAGTGAAGCACCTTAAATGGTATATGCTGAATTTGTTTGCCTGGAATATAATCGATCTGTCAGTAGGACCTCTCCTTGGTACTTGGAGTAATAATTTATGTTTCAAGGATCCTTGAGTGTTTTTTTGTGCAACAACTGTGTGTCTTAATTTAAGAAGGATTCAAATACTTATAGTACACGAAGTTACCTTCATTTTCTTATTCGTTAAAAAGTTTTATCTATAAGAATTTTACATTGCAGCTCACCTTTGAGTTTGCAACGTATACACACTTGTTTTAATAGCCACCATGCTCGTGGTGATACTTAGCATCTCATATTATCTCTTTTTTTCTAGACAATAGAATATATAAGACTATGTACTCAAATTTTACTCTACTATTATTGGCTTTAAGCTTTGAGATTGTTTTACTGAATTAACTTCACGTATGTATATAAGCATTTATATGTCATGTATATCAGTATCAAATTCTAATGGTGGGGCATACGCAAGGGCACACGCCATCTAGTATTACAATAATACCAAACGAGGGGACGAAGAAGAGAGACAACAGAGCGAGCCAGCAAAAGTAAATTCTATTTATAATTAAGTCTGCTCCTGGTTACAACACAACAACCCAGTCTAATCCCACTTAGTGGGGTCTGGGGAGGGTAGTGTGTACGCAGACCTTACCCCTACCTTGGGGTAGAGAGGTTGTTTCCAAATAGACCCCCGGCATCCTTCCCTCCAAGAACTTCCCACCTTGCTCTTGGGGAGACTCGAACTCACAACCTCTTGGTTGGAAGTGGAAGTCTGCTACTGGTTATGGTACCAAATTTTGCGCAACCCTCGAAAGACTTGTGGCATATCCTAAAGAGCACAACAGATCTGTCAATGTGCTGACCCCTTTGTGAAATCATCAGGAGCTAAATCTTCCATCTCCACAAGGCGACAACAAATATGCGAAAAAACCTGCAGATTTGTTGTTGCATTAGTGCAATAGTATTTGGAATTAACACCTACATATTATCAAGGGCATGAAGCTGGAAACAAGGAACAATGGCCTATGATTAACCTTAACTCCAATCACGTAAGAGGGGCGTGTCAAACTGCAATGGGTTCAGTAGCCTTCATCAGCCATTCCATCTCAGATGTATTCATGTAAGGAGCAAGAATTTCCCTACATTTAGCATGGTATTCATTCAAGCATTCAATCTCTTCGGGCACCAGAATGCTCACGTCAATTAGTTTCCTCTGATATGGTGCCTAGATTAAACAAAGAAAATTGTTACCTTCACGGCACAAACATTTCCAGCCTGTGGAATTAGAAAATGAAATAGCATATCAATGGCAAGTGAAACTGAATATCAACGTATATAAAAAAATAAAAACAAAGAATCTCAATTCCTCTTGGATTGCAAAAGTAAAATAGCACCACACACATTCATCTAGAACCATCCATATAGAAGCATATCAGAATGTGTACAGAAATAAAACAAAGTGTTTACAAACTCACCCAAGTTATGTGCTCGAATGATAAGTAACCCTTATCGCCAAAGTTGAACTTCGTATTGCCCTTCTTGACAATTAGCACATTCTCTATTCTTATTCCAAAATTCCCATCTTCATAATAACCAGGTTCTGGAAAATAACATATGAATGTTAGGTCCTGAGAAGTTGAAACAAGAAACCGTAAAGGTGTGCGGAAGAAAGGTGATGACAATTAGATTATTCAGGAAGCTGGCACAACTTGGCATGACGTGGTTTATCCTAATTTTATGACAGACCTTTTTACTAATACAACTAAAAAAGCATCGTATTTCCCCTGATCATATCAGTTATCTAATTGTAGAATTCTAATAAACAACTTTAGGGCAGACTAAGTTAAGATAGGACATTTATTAATGACCGTCCTTCATAAAGTAGCATTTCAGTTTAAAGCCTACTACTTCATGTGAAGAGTGAAAATCCGTCCAAGTATGCAGAGGCATAATCATGATAAGGAAAACTTTACTTCTAAGTCGTAATGTTGTAAGATGCTACTGACCATCTGTTACAGCCATTGAAACTTGTAGTGGCACATTCTTTGCAGATGGTCTGAAACTAATTTGATGAGGTCCTGCCAAAGGTAAATGAATGTAAATATAAATTGCACCTTCTTACAAGTACCTCTTCAGTCATAAGGGTGGCTTACCTTCATGGACATTTAAGTACGACCCAATCCCGTGTCCAGTACCATGCCTATAGTCAAGACCATCCTTCCACAAAGGAATTCGAGCAAGAATGTCAAGAGCATGCCCTATAAAGATTATTCAAGCACACAATGATCTGATAAGCCAACTATCTTGAGGGCCACATCAGTTAAATGAAATGCAAGTGATAAGCATAGGCCTTCAAAAAATCGCCTGTGGATTTAGGCATTAGTACATCCAACCACTGAAGAAGCTTTAATAAATTATAGACATCGAACATACTAAGAATGATTCTACATAATCATACCATTGGTTCCGTTGGGAAACATGGCATTGCCCAAAGATATATGTCCTTTAAGCACCTAAATAAAATAAAGGAACTTTTTAGCCATTAAAGCAGTATTTCGGTAAAGAGAAGAACAAGACTTTCCAGCATAAGATTCTATCAAATCAATCTCACAATGAAAAACCAGCATATATAGAAGTAGTATGAGAAGTAAAACTAAAAGGAAAAGACAAACCTGCATACATATATATTAACAGAAATTGGTTCAAAGTGTTGCAAGCATTATCCCTTCTCATCCACTAACCCCTCAAGAAATAAACCAGAAAACAACTCTTAAGAATAAAGACAAAAGCATTTCACAGAAAAGTTTCGACTTACTGTTGCTTCTTACTCCACGCCTACAGGAGGGGAAACTTTTATAAAAAAAAGGAGGGAGAGATGAAGATTACAAGATACAAGCACAGGAATAATAGAGCTATAGATCTCTAGGATGATAATGCCTCCAATGGTTTCTCTGATCAAGGCTTAAAATGGATTAAAGCTTCTAGGATGGTCTTAACGTAATGGTGGCTAACCAAGTATAGAAGGAGACTGAAAATAGATTAGATAAGCAACGGTAATCTGATTTTCAATCTGAAATCAGAACTCAAGTTATGAAATTTCACTCCATCGTGCATGGTCAGATTCAACATGGTTTGGCATCATTATCAATGCAAAAAGAGATAATTAAAAATACATTAGAATTTACATACCGCAGTGTAACAAGATTTCTCATGTGGAGTAGGCTTTCCAAAATGAACAGTCCGTGTAATATCAGTTGTTCCATCCAGATACTTCAGCAACACCACCATATATATGGAAAGATGACATGTTAAATATAGAAGTATGTAAAGCAACTAGCCTATCCCGAATATATGTTCTCACATACCTGTGCTCCAGAATCAAATAGGTAAATGCAATCTGGATCGAGTTCAGCACATGTTTCTGTCTCAGGTTTATAGTGGATAATGGCCGCATTTGAACCAACAGAAGAGGTAGTTGGAAAACTCAGTCCTCTAAAGTGCTGCAGATGTATAGGAACAACATTGTCCCAGTACATTAAGATAATGGAGATACTATGTTGAAACACAAGCTTCTTAATAATTTTGCGA